ATGACATGGAATAAGGGATATCATTTCTGATGTCAAATAGATCTTGGCTCAAAGCCAGTAATACCAGAAAGATGTTTATTTGTGTTTTATTGACTATGCAAAAGCATTTGATTTTGTGCATCATAACAAATTGTGGATAACATTGAGAATAATAGGAATTCCAGAGCACTTAATTGTACTCATGAGGAACCTGTACATAGACCAGGAGGCTGTCATTTGAACAGAATAAGGGGACACTGTATGGTTTTAAATCAAGAAGGGAGTGCATCAGGGTTGTTTCCTTTCACCATACTTATTCAATCTGTATGCTCCACAAATCATGCAAGAGCTGGACTATCTGAAGAAGAACATGGCATCAGGATTAGAAGAAGAATCATTAACAACCTGTGATATGCTTCTGACACAACTTTGCTTGCTGAAAGTAAGGATGACTTGAAGTACTTATTGATGAAGATTGAAGAATACAGTTGGCAGTATGAATTACATTTCAATATATAGAAAACAAAACTCCTCACAACTTAACCTATAAGCAGCATCACGATAAATGGAGAAAAGATTGAAGTTGTGAAAGACTTCACATTGCTTGGTTCAACAATTGACGTCAATGGAAGCAGCAGTCAGGACATCAGACAACATTTAGCACTGGGCAAATCGGCTGCAAAGGACCTCTTTCAAGTGCTGAAGAGCAAAACTGTCTCCTTGAGGACTAAAGCGTGCCTGACACAAGCCATATTTTCAATCACCTCATATGCATGTGAGAGCTAAACAATAAATAAGGAAGACCGAAGAAGAGTGGATGCTTTTGAGTCATGGTGCTGGCGAAGAATACTGAAAGTACCACGGACTGCTAAAAGAACTAACAAGCCTGTCCTGGAAGAAGTGCAGCCGGAATGCTCCTTGGAAGTGAGAATGGCCAGACTTCATCTCACCTACATTGGTCATATTGTCAAAAGGGACTGTGATAGTTGGAGCTGTGTGTCAACTTGGCTGGACCACAATTCTGTGTGGTTTAAGCAATTGTGATGTGGGTTGTTCCAATGATGGGATCAGATGTATATGTTCTGAGCAGACAATTCATTGAAAGAGAGTTTCCCTAGGGGTGTGGCCTGCTTCCAGTGGAAAAAGAGACACTCTTCTGTGGATCGGGATTCTGCCTACAACTGTTCGTGAACAAACAATCCACCATTTGGCCTGGAGATCTTGGATTCGTCATTCATTGGAATCAACAGCCAGTATACTGCCTACCAACCTTGAGCTCCTCAGCCCCAGCAGCTGTGTGAGTTGGGAAGAGCCTCCAGCTTGACGTGTGATCCAAGAACTTGTGACTTGCCAGCTTCTGTAAGTGCATGAGCCATTTTTCTAAGATAAATTTCTATTTCTATATATACATAAAAAGCTCTGATAGCATAGTGTCTAAGGCACTTGACTGCTAACCAGAAGGCTGGCGGTTCAAACCTACCAGCCACTCCTTGGAAGGAAGATGGGGCAATCTACTTCTGTAGTGATGCTGCTTCGGCAACCCAAGGAGGGGTCACCATGAGTTGGGGCTGACTCGACCGCACATAACAACAACAATAGATACATAAGCTTTACTGCTTTTGTTTCTCTAGAGAACCCAGTCTAACACAGGAACCATTCCCTACAGAAGGATTTCATGCTTGGTAAGGTGGAGGGTTGATGAGAGAGGGGAAGGCCCTCAATGTGATGGATTAAAACAGTGGCAGTGGTGATGGGCTCAAGTATACAAGGATCATGGAGTTGGCACGGGACTGGGGCGGTTTCGTTCTGCTGTGCATAGGGTCACTATGAGCTGGAGACAAATTGACAGCACCTAACAACAACAACAACAAACTTTCTAAGGGCTGGAAGTAGGCTGAGAAATTTAACCAAAGGGCACTGTTATGGATTGAATTATGTCCCACCAAAATATGTTGTAAATCCTAACCTCTATGCCTATGGCTGGAGCTCTAGTGGTACAGTGGTTAATATATTGGGCTGCTAACCAAAAAGTTGGTGGTTTGAACCCATCAGTTGCTTTGTGGGAAAAAGATGAGGCATTCAGATTTTGTGAAGATTTATAGCCTTTGAACATCCTAAGGGGGCAGTTCTACTATGTCCTATAGGGTCGAAATGAGTTGGATTGACTGGATGGCCGTGGATTTGTTTTTGGGTTTTATGTCTGTGGTTATAATCCCATTTAGGAATGAGTTGTCTTTGCTATGTTATTGAGGCAGAATTAATGTAGCATGTATCTTGAGTTAATCTCTTTCGAGATATAAAAGAGATTAAACAAGCTAGCAGAGCAGAGCAGGGGGAAGAGAGATGCCCAGGAGGAGAAGCTCAAAAAGAGACAAGGACCTTCCTCCAGAGCTGCCAGAGAAAGCCTTTTGTTAGAGCCAGTGCTCTGAATTTGGACTTCTAGCTTTGTAAACTTTGAGAAAATAAATGTTTGTTAAAGCCACCCATTTGTGGTATTTCTATTATAGCAGCACTAAATAAGATAGTCACATTTTTTCCAAGTGGCCAAAAAAGTGCTGGAAAAGGAGGCACATCCAAGAGGACAGAGGCAGAAGTCATGTTCAAAGGTAGATTGGGGAGACAATCTCAGTGAGCAGAATACAGGCCTAGAAGGAACATTCCAAACTCATGGAGGCCCTGCAAACATTTCCCCAATGGATTTCAGATCTGCTATGGGTCAGTGATTGCTCTGTGTCTCCCCTTCTTCTTTTCATATGGATGTATTTATTTATTGTGGTTCTCCTTCCTCACTTTAATGTTACATGTGTGGAGGGAAGACAATTCATCTTTTGAATCTGTATGTCTCTAGACCTTGAGGCAATGATCTGCAGAGATTCATCCAAGTCTAACATAGATCATGAGATCCTGGACTATGAACCTATGATTGGATGAGACCTTTAGGGTCTTGTGAAGAGGTGAATCTCTCCTTTTCTTGTGAGTCACTTAAGGACAGAAACCATGTCTTTATTCTTTAGATTTTCCAGAAGGCACTCTGTCGTTAACTCATAATGTAGCAATCAGCCATAGGACACGATGGCCCTAGAGACCAGAAGAACTAGATGATGCCCACCTACCAATGCCAACCACTCAGGAGAGGATCAAATCTGGAGATCCTGGATAGAGTGGGAGGACAAACGTGGAACAAAATCCAAAAACTCAATAATGACCAGAATTAATGGTCAGATGAAATCTGGTGAGACTCTCCCAATGCTATGGCCCTGGAATACATTCTGTGCCTGGAATAAAATGCACCCCCAGGGGCTGACTCTCAGCCCAATAGTTAAGAAGATGTACACACAGACCACTCAACCCAGGATGATGCACCCACATACTCTATGGTAATACATCCCTTAGAGCAATAGACCACGGGACACCAGAGGACCAACGTTCAAATTGAGGAAATGCAGGACAAACAGAAGTGCATAAATATGAGGGGCACAGGGGGAGGGTTATAGGATAGGGAGGGGAGGAGACTGGGTTAGGGTTGGACATAGTAAATGGGGAATGAAATTAAATGTACATGTTACGTTGAATGTAAAACAAGCTCTTAAAATGAGAAAAAAAAAAAAAAACCACTGGTTGCTGGAAGCAAGTCAGATTTTCTTACATTCAAGGAAAGCAAGTAAAAATATTAAGTGGAAAGATCCATTAAAAAACCCCATAAACATCTAGATCAGTGCTGTCCAATACAATAACCACTACCCACATTTATTGATTTGAGCAGTTTATGTGTGATTAGTGTGATTGAGGAACTGAATTTTTAATTTTATTTAATTTTAAGTTTAAAAATCGATTGTCAATTGTTGGAAAACATTGAAAATTGATTGTGGTAAAATATGTGTAATAAAAACTTCACCATTTTAACCAATTTTCGGTATATAATTCAAGTGGCATTAATTATACTATTTTTTGTTACCATCACACTATTTCCAGAAATTTTTTATCATCTCAAACAGAAACTCAGTGCACTTTAAGCAATAATGTTGAAAAACTTCTAAGTATGTTTGGAACAATTTGTTGTTGTTGTTGTTATGTGCGGTGAGTCAGCCCTGACTCATAGCGATCCCTCCTTGAGTTGCCGAGGCAGTATCACTACGAAAGTAGACTGCCCAACCTTCCTTCCCAGGAGTGGGTGGTGGGTTTCAACTGCCAGCCTTCTGGTTAGCAGTCAAGTGCCTTAGGCACTATGCTACCAGAGCTCCTCGGAATAATTTAGAGGGGTGAATCTCTTTCACGTGGACAGATGTGAAAAATTTGAGCCAGAGGATAGCCTTTGGAGGATTTGATCACAAAAATGGCCGTAATTCTCCATCCCTCCCTTAGTCCATGCCCTTGGTCATGGACTAAGTCCAAAGTTACTTAACGTGACTTTGCTGTTAGTCTCATCAACATTTTTCCCACTCCTTGAATCTTCCTGCCCTCGATGATTGTTTTGACCAGTAGACCAGGACAGAAGCAACGGTGCACCGCTTTCTAGGGTTCTCTAAAGAAGCAAAACTAGTGATACACACATGAACATATGGAATCCCTCGGTGGTACAAACAGATATGTATGTATCCCCACTTCATCCAGATAAAACAACTGAGCCTAATGAACCAAACCAAACACACTGCCATCAAGTAGATTCTGACTCCTAGCGACTCCCGTTGGGTTTCCAAGGCAGTAAATCTTTACGGAAGTAAACTGCTCCATCTTCCTTCCGTGGAGCGGCTGGTAGGTTTGAACCACCAACCTCCTTGTTAGCAAGCAAATGCCTTAAGCACCGTGCCACCAGAGGTCCTTTGATGAGCCAGGAAGGTCTATAAATGCTCGCTTGAAGGCGAGAAAAAGCTTCCACCGCATGCCCCACGCCGGCTCTTCTGCGGGAGACAGACCGGGTAGGTTACGTCACCTCCCGGCTCCGCTGGTGACGTCACAGACTGGCGTCAAGAGAAAAAGGTGGCCCGGGAGTTCACGTGGACAGAGGCGCGCCGGGTGTACACATGGCGAATTCTGCGGGCCTGTCGCTGTGCGGGCAGACGCTGGTGGTGCGGGGCGGCAGCCAGTTCTTGGCCACCTCTATTGCGAATAGGTGAGAAGATAGGTACTGGAGTAGTAAGCCCATTCTGCGGTCGGGAACTGGCGACTCCATTTCCCTGCACCCTTGGTCACCTCGGGGAACCCCACACCTAAGTCGCCGCCTTGGTCTGGCCGCATGCCAGGACAATAGGGCCTCCCTTCTCCACTCCCTATCCCCAGGACTTTCCTTCATCTGCGTGCCCTTCGCGTCCGGGCTGGAACCTCGCCCGCGGACGGGCTAGCGCGACCCCGGCTGCTTCCGGACTCGGTAGCTGCTGAGCGCGGACTGGGCGAGGCCGGGTCACATGGGACAACGCCGGCCGGGCTGAACCAATGACAGGTCTCGGGAGTGCCAGCCGGACCCGCCCCGGGGCGTGGGCGGAAGGCGGCCGGCGGCCGGCCTGGAGCAACATTAGCGCTGTTTTTCCAGGAACAGGTTAAATCTCACTGGTAGCTGAGCCCACCCGACTTTCGTCTACCTGTTTTTGCCGTGGGTCTGCTCTCTTTGTTTTTCCGCCTTCACCCTTCGACACCGTCCTTACAGCTCCTGAGGCTTCGGGAGACTTATCTGACACTTTGCCCTCTTTGGTGCACCCCAAGCCAGCACGCCATTCCCTTGTGGCCCTTCATACGGTTCTGCCTTTGCTTTCTGAAATTTCCTTTAACATATACGCAGTGCTTAGACATCAGCCAGAGCCTAAGTGGTATTGACCCATGATACTGGGAGTAGTAATAGTGGTCAGTTTTACCCTTTTGGTTTCTTTCTTTTCCCAGGGGAGTTTTGATTCACACTTGAAATAGACGGCTTGTTCATCAAATGTATACTCTCTGTGCTTCTGCTTGACATTTGGTTTCAGAAGTCCTATAAAGCTTTTTTTTTTGCATGTGTTCCATATTTTATTTTAGAGACATGCAATGTCTAGTATGTGTTTTCATGAGCCATGGGGACATTAAACCTGATCTGCTTGCTCCACTTTAGACTTTCTGAAGAAATACAGTGGCTGGCAAAGTTTCTGACTACATTTTATATTATAGTGTTTGGCTATATGTATCCAATCACTTCCAAGGCTATAAGTATGTATGAGATGTCTTCTTGTATCAGGCACTGGGGTGAGGATGGAAATGAGAGTGTGAGAGTAGAGGTGATCCAAATATGGGTAAACTGAAGAGAGCTTAGGTTCTGATCTGGAAGATGGGTGATTTCCTGTAATGAATGGTAAATGCTTGGGGGCCATGGGCACTTTTTCAGGTAGTTGAGGGTTATACAAGACATTTTTCTAAGTAAGCAATGGCAGTTTTAAATTTGAGTGCAAAAATTCCACTGGAAACTCACCAATACTAGAACACAATTTCTTTTTAGCAGAGTCAGATTGCATGAATTTTCTGGCACCTGGAATAACAGAATTTGACTTCCTATTAAGTATTTTCATTCTCATTTATTTTAGCTAATGGATGTTTTTGGATGCTGGTTTTGCATGGCAAATCTAAGTAGGCGATGAAGCAAATAAAATTCCTTACCTGCTCTCTGAAACTTACTTGTAGATAATTTAATGAAGATGCATATATTTTTTGTTTCAGAAAAAAAAATCAGCATTTTTAATATTAAAGGGTTCATTTTAAAGTTATTTTTATTTCTTTTTAGCGATGATGACAACCTCTTCATATATGATTGCAGTACTGCAGAAAAGAAGCCACAGGAAAATAAAGGGTGAGATGACAAGAAATCACCTCAGGACCTGATTAATAGTTTGAGCAAAAGATAGACTTTGTTTTGTTGATGAATTCTAATTTCTATTGCCCTACTAAGGCACTCTGATGGCGCAGTGACTAAAGTATTTGACTGCTAACCAGAAGGTTAGTGTTTCAAACCCACTAGCCACTCCACAGAAGGACGATGGGGCAATCTACTTCCGTAAAGATTTGCTGCCTTGGAAACCCAATGTGGATCCCTATTAGTCAGAATTGACTTGATGGCAGTGGGTTTGGTTTTCGTAATTACCCTACTATGTGGGTAAGGGGGAGTTCTGATAACATAGTGCCTAAGGCACTTGACTGCTAACCAGAAAGCTGGTGGTTCAAACCCATCAGCCACTCCTCGAAAGGAAGGTTGGGCAATCTACTTCCATAGTGATACTGCCTTGGAAACCCAAGGAGGTGTCGCTATGAGTCGATCCAACTCGATGGCAAATAACAACAACATGTGGGTAAGGAGCCCTGGTGGTACAACAGTTAAGTGCTTGGCTACTAACTAAAAAGTTGGTGTTTTAAATCCATCCAGTGGTGCTTCAGAAAAAAGGCCAGGCAATCTACTTCTGAAAATCAGCCATTGAAAACTGTGTGGAGCACAGTTGTACTCTGACACACATGGGTGTACCATGAGTCTGAGTCGATGGCAACTGGTTTTATATTCTGGTTATATGAACCTCATAAGAACATGTTCTACCTCTGCTCGTTTTGTAAACTAACGAAGCTAGTCACGAGGCAATGCGGCTTCCTTTACTTGGGGAAGATCTAATTGTTCTCCTTGTCTTTTTCTCAGGGAGGATGGGCAGCCCATGGAGAAGGGGAGTGACTCAATTCTGGCTTCCACCTTCTCTGAGTCTGGCAACTATTTTGCTTTAACTGATGACAGTAAGCGTCTGATTCTTTTCCGTACAAAACCATGGCAATGTCTGAGTGTCAGGTATGAAATGCTAATGTTGAATTATTAAGATGTCATATGCAGAACTTAAACTTGCATGTCACTAGAACAATGACAGTAATAATAATAATAAGCAATTAACTTGTATTACCAGCTACGTGCCAGTCATTGTTTTTAGGGCTTTACGTGTGTTAACTAACATAATCCTCCTAACTACCCTGTGAGGGAGGTAGGGACACTGTCCCTCCCACATTCACTGATGAGGAGTCAGCATGGAAGGGGAGAGCTGGCACCTGCACTCAGCCCCACTCATTCTGGGGTTGGTGCTTCTTTGTCCCAAATGCTGGACACATGGCCTTGTGATAGCCAAGTAGTGACCTTCAGCACACACCATGAGTGCTAGAGGTTCTTTGTAAGTTATGGTATCTGTAGCATGATGGTAACTCAGTAGATTTTTTAAGTTAGTGCACTTACTTCTAAGTATCTGAAAATGAGAGGGAACTTGTACTGATGGAGAGCAGGATAGTTACTCAGGCAGTGGCACCAGGCCTAGCTGTTTCCTCTTACTCAGCATAGTCCCGTACATGTTCTCTTACCTTGTTTATTTCTCTCTGGAATCTGTCTCCATCACTTTGTAAGAGGGAAGAAATGGTGCAGTTTTGTGAATCTCTGTTTCCTAAGATGCTTCCTTGCCTCACTATGCTACATTCTTAAGAGAGGTGCTTGGGTGTGCATGATTGGTACTGGGCAGATCTATGTTTTTGTTGGATTTGAAGGTCTCCTATGGGCCTCCTGTCTGTTTTCCTAATAGGAGTCAGGACTTGAATTATTCTCATTATTCTGTGACACTGATGTAAGAGTAGCTTGGAGCAAAATCCACCCCTTTTGTTTCTTCAGTGTCTCCTCCCTGAAGCCTCAGGGTCTAACTGTCTCTTGGTGCTCAGAAAGAAACATATACAAGTTATAATATTTTGACTACTACAGTTAAGGTCTTTTTCTTATAGGCTCACACCTATACTGGGGCAGCTGCACTCTTTATTTTTTATTGTGTTTTAGGCGCAAGTTTATAGAGCAGAGTTTGTTTTACATTCAGCATTTCATGTACATTTGGTTTCACTCCCTGATTACTATCCCCAACCCTAACCCAGTCTCCTCCCCCTCTTTGCCCAGGAACATCCCCCCCCCCCAATGCCCCTCATAGGTATGCACTCCCATGTGTCCTGCGTTTCCTCTGTGCGAACATTGTTCCTCTGGTGCCCCATGGTCGATTGCTGCAAGGGATGCATCTCCATTGACTATGTGAGTGCATCACCTTGGGTTGAGCGGTCTGTGTGTACATCTTGTTTAGTATTGGGCTGAGAGCCAGCCCCTGGGAGTGAGTTTTATTCTAGGCTTGAAGGGTATCCCAGGACCATAGTATTGGGTGTCCCACCAGACTCCATATGACCAGTAATTCTGGTCATTATTGTGTTTTTGGATTTTGTTCCATGGTTTTCCTCCCATTCTATCCAGGATCTCTAGTTGTGATCCTTTCCTGAGTGGTTGGCATTGGTAGCCAGGCACCATCTAGTTCTTTTGGTCTTGAGGTCCATCATGTCCTAGGATTGATTGCTTCCAATGTCCTTGCTTTTTTTTTTGCAGCTGTATTCTATAGATTTCAATTTCATCTTATTTTTTAACAGGGAAATAAACAGGCAAATTCCAGGTCACATAAGAAGCAGAGCACCTGCTCTGCTCCTTAGTCCAGTCAGATTAAAAATAAACCTAAGTAATGTAGAATCTGCAAAATACTGCATAATGTGGATGAACTTGAAAGACATTATGCTGAGTGAAATAAGTCAGTCACAGAAGGACAAATAATTGTATTAGTGTGTTAACTATAAAAAGTCAAGGAAAGGTTTCTATATGGAAGGAGATTTTCTTTCTTGGTTACCAGGGGTGGGAGGGGAGGAGAGGGAACACTGTTAGATAGGTAGAGACAAATATTGACTTGGGTGAAGAGAACGGCAGTGTACCAATTGTGAGTGATCAACACGGTGGCATTGAGGAAGAGAAAGACATAGAGAGGTGTGTGGGAGGTACAGACAACAAAGATGAACCCTTTTGCACATCCCATACTGTGTTGTCAGTGAAGGCATGGCTATATGGGTGGATAGATGGCTGGACAGGCTGAACTATTAGATATGTTTATGCTGGGAGGAGTGTACCCAAGACCATGTGTAAGGTTGGCAGACATGTTTCTACAAGAGTATTTTTATGTTCTGTTAAGAATTCCCAGGTATATAGTAGGGCTGACTAGGGCCAAGGTTGTAGTCACTTCTTGGCCACAGCCAGGTACCCAGAGGGAGCAAGTAGTTAGACCTGTGGGCTTAGGACCATAGTCACAGGGAATATCAATCTCAATTGGCATAACATACTACACAAAACATTGTTCCACTTCCTACTTTGGCGAGTAGCGACTGGAAACTTAAAAGCTTGCAAGCAGCCATCTAGATGCACTGATGGGTTTCTCTTCATCTAGAGCAAAGAAGAATGAAGAAAACCAAAGAGTCATGGAAACAATGTAAGTGACTGGTACACCATGCGATCACAACCTATATGACTGTGAGACCAGAAGAACTAGATGGTGCCTGGCTACCACTGTCAACCACTTGGAGGGGGATCTAAGTAGGAGATCCTGGGTAGAGTGGAAGAACAATATGGAACAAAACTAAAAATCGTTAAAGAAAAAAAAAAGGACCAGGTTTGCCAGTCTGATAGAGCCTGATGAAACCACTGAGACTATGGCCCCTAGGTGCCCTTCAGGTCTGAAATTGAACCCACTCCTGTGGCTTCCAGCCAAACAAAAGAGGCATATGAGGTGAACATTTACATTAGATAGATAGACTCCTTGGAGAGAACAATACTGGGAGAATAGAAGAGCTGTGTATGCATAGGGAGACATCTCGGGGCAGGAGTGCATGAGAAGGAAGGACACAGGGAAGAGGTAACTATGGGGAGGAAGTGGGAAGGGAGCTGTTGCACTGTGGTAAGTTGTAATCAGTGTCATGAGACCGTATGTGAGCTGCTGTATGAAAGTGAATTTGCTCTGTAAACTTTCACCCAAATCACAAAAACCACCACCACCACCACCACCAACCAAAAACACAACAACAAAAATGTAAACTTCAGGAACATTCCTTTATTAAGGCACTTGACTGCTAACCAGAAGGCTTGTGATTCAAACCCACCAGCCACTCCTTGGAAGGAAGGTTGGACAATCTACTTTCGTAGTGGTACCGCCTCAGAAACCCAAGGAGGGGTCGCTGTGAGTCAGGTTTGACTCAGTGGCAGTGAGTTTGGTTTTGGTTTTAGTAGGTAATAGATGCACTGGATTAAAAGCAAAACACAACAAAAGGATGTACAGCGAAATGTAAATCTTCCTCCACCCCCACCCTCAAATCCTCTTCTCTGCTGGCTATTACAGTTTGCTGGTACAAAAAGGACTTCATTGTATGTTGCCCCATACCCAAAGGGTGATTGATAATGAATTGCCTCTTATGGCTGATTCCTGTGAATTTACATCATGGTGCTCTTGAAGTATCTTATTAAGCAATATTTTCTTATGAAAATTGCCAAAACATTAGGAGGTCATTGAAGATATAGATGATGCTAAGTGTTTTTAGAACTCATTGTAAATGAGTGAGTTGAGGTTTTGCCCTTTGGTCTTTGAAGCCCCAGATTCAGCATTGTTACTGCAGCCTCAGGGACAATGGCTCCACCACTTTCTAGTTGGTTGTCCTTGCTGTTGTTAGGTGCTGTTGAGTAGGTTCTAACTCATAGCAACCCTGTGTACAATAGAATGTAGCATTGCTGGGTCCTGTACCATCCTCACAGTCATTGCTGTGTTTGGGCTCATTGTTGCAAGCACTGTATCAGTCTATCTTGTTGCGGGTCTTCCTCATTTCCACTGACCCTCTACTTTACCAAGCATGATGTCCTTCTCCAGGGACTGGCCTCTCCTGATAACATGTCCAAAGTACATGAGATGAAGTCTCACTGTCCTCACTTCTAAGGAGCATTCTGGCTACCCTCTTCCCAAGATAGATTTGTTTGTTCTTCTGGCATTCCACAGTATTTATGCCATGGTTTATGCCAATACCATAATTTAAAGGCATCAATTGTTCTTTGGTCTTCCTTCTTTATCGTCCAGCTTTTGTGTTCATATGAGGTGATTGAAAATACCATGGCTTGGGTCAAGTGTACATTAGTCCTTTAGGTGACATCTTTGCTTTTTAATACTTTAAAGAGATCTTTTGTGGTAGATTTCCCCAGTGCAATATGTCATTTGATTTCTTGACTGCTGCTTCCATGGGTGTTGATTATTGATCCAACTAAAATGCAATCCTTGACACCTTCAGTCTTTTCCCCATTGATTGTGATGTTACTTATTGATCTCGTTTTCTTTATGTAGAGTTATAATCTGTACTGAAGGCTATAAGTTTTTGATCTTTATCAGTAAGTGCTTCAAGTCCTCTTGGCTTTCAGTAAGCAAGGTTATGTCTTCTGCATATCATAGGCTATTAATGAGTTGGTGCTGTGTTCTTCATATAGTCCAACTTCTCAGATTATTTGCTCAGGGTATAGATTGAATAAGCGTGGTAAAAGAATACAACTTTGATGTACACCTTTCCTGACGTTCATTCACACAGTATCCCCTTGTTCTGTTTGAATGACTGCCTCTTGGTCTGTGTACGGTTTCTCACAAGCAAAATTAAGTGTTTTGGGATTCCTGTTCTTCACAGTGTTATCCGTAATTTTTTTTGATCCACAGAGTTGAATGCCTTTGCATAGTTAATAAAATACAGGTAAACATCATTCTGGTACTCTTTGCTAAGATCCATCTGACATCAGCAATGATATCCCTCATTCCTCATCCTCTTTTGATTTGGCTTGAATTTCTGGCAGTTGCCTGTCAGTATACTGCTGCAATCTCTTTTGAATTATCTTCAACAGAAGTTTACTTGCCTATGACATTAGTGATATTATTCACCAATTTCTGC